GTGTATATATATATATATATATATATATATATATGTGTGTGTGTGTGTGTGTGAAAGTGTATATAAATATAAATAAATATATATATATGTATAATTATTTATATATTATATATGGTACTTATTAGAAAGCGCTCAATATCAGAGATAGAGCTAACATATTTGGTTGGATAGATGTGAGTTAGTGACCCTGGGTTTCACGCTTTAGCGATCGTCAGACAAGAAACCCAGGGTCACAAACTCACATCTATCAACCAATATATATATATATATATATATATATATATATAAATATATATATATATATATATATATGCACACCTGGTGTAATAGCAAAATTGGCTAATTGTTAGATTAAACTTTGAACCGTTGTATCTTAGAAATGATTAAAAGATATCTTACTGGAATTCTCCGAGGTCTTTATAACACTATTGGACTCTACGTTGAACAATAAGAATGTATTTAGTTCTAAGTTGAAATGATGATCCCTCTTGCTGTTGTGACCTCCTGATTCAGTTTTCCTTTTTACTGTTCTTTCTTTTTAAAACTTATTCGCTGTTCTCTTGATGGTACTTGAGTGGACTTTGAGGATGGAAGACAGAGTATGGATGGCCTGAATGATCTTTTTCCTCACACCCTATTTATTCTCCAAAACAAGAGCTTGGCGATTGTAGTGGGAAGACATATCGATTACTAAGTAGATCGTGCGTCAGTGATTCGTCCACCGCAAGGAAAGTTGGCTCCCTGTGCCGCGCCAGGAAATTTTTCTCGACGGAGTCGATCCTTCAAATCTAAAAATCAACCATTCGCCCTTGCATGGAGTATTGCTGCCATATATGGTCTGGAGCCCCTTATGTTTGTCTCAGGGTTCTTGATAAGATCCAGAGACGGATATGCAATGTAATTGGCCCTGATCTGGCATCTCATCTGCAGTCGCTCTCTCACAGACGTGCCGTCGCCTCCCTCTGTCTTTTTTACAAATACTTTCATGTTAACTGTTCCCAGGAGCTGCTTTGGCTGGTTCCCAGACTTCATGAATTTAAGCGTTCAACTAGGCTGGCATCTCGCTCACAACCTTTCACTCTCTAAACAGTTAAATGTAGCCGTCTCTTCTACTCCAATAGCTTCATGCTCCGCACCTCTCGCCTGTGGAACTCTTTCTGTTTCCCTGAGAGCTATAATCTCTAACTATTAAAATGTAATGTCAATCGACGTCAATCGACGTCTCCAGATTCCTTGATCCATCCCCTATCCTTCTCTTCATCCTTTCCTCTATCACTCTTATTTGCTCTCACTCCAATTCTCTGTAACCCCTTGCGTGCTAGTGGCTTCCCGCCTTGCTTGGGGTGAAACGCTTAAAAAATGTGTTTGTGTGTGTGTGTATGTGTATGTTATGTACTCACTCGCAGATAAACTTACGTGCTTAATGCAGGTATATAAGAATGAAATCTGTAGCCTGAGAGACTTAGAGTTGAATTTTGATATGGAATATTCAATGTATTATGTTTAAATGGAGAATTGCCGAGATGAGTAAGTTGGCTAAAAGCGAGGGGGAGAAGTATATAGGGAAATAAGTATTTGCTGTTTTTGATAATCATTTGGTATTAGGTTGGTGCAAAATAATGACGTAATAATGTCGTTCTTTGACGTATTTTTTAACGTCAAAAAACGACATTATTACATCATTATTTTCGCAACAACCTAATATTTGCAAAGTGAATAAGTATCGAGTTTATTTACATATAATCACGAAATACCCGTTCTATGAACAGAAAGAAGTTCCGTTGTAGTAGAAACAAATATCTATATAAACATATAAATATCTATATAAACATTTTCAGTAAGACATAATCCAGAATTCTTTCTCTCATTATCATGATTCTTTCTATCCACGTGGATTTCCTACTCTGGACATAGTTACGTCGAGCTGACCAAAAGAGAAACATAAGAAATTCCATTAATGCAGCGATTAATAGTTTCGTATAGTTATTTTCACGACATTTCAACCGTAAACAATATTTGATTTATTAAAGAATGTTACGCTTATATATATATCATAATAATCGACTCTCCCATCGAGATTCGACGTATGAGTTTCAAGCAGATCAGTTTCCAGGAAACCGACACCGGCACATGAGATTTAATTATAGTTGTGAAGGTTTCATGCAGGACCATCCACATTTTTTGAAGGGCCGAATACAGAGACCTGGTGCACCGAATACTACAAGGTTCCCAAACGACCCTCTGCAGGTTTTGAATTCAGAGTTGTCCTTCTCCTAGACCAGTTGCCATCCAAGGCTATAGAACCCAGTCTGTCCTGCTATTTTACCCATAGCTGGAGGGAGAGGAAGAGGATTCATACCTTTCCCAAGGGTATTAGCACGTAAGTGAATGTAATGGATTTGAATGGAATTCGAACTCGGCTCTGCGATTCCTCAATCCAAGCCGCTATCCATTACTCCATAAAGCTAGTGAGGTGTAATCCTTTCTAATGACGCTCTTCAAGCATCATTACGCTGTGACATCACAGAGTTATTGTAACGTAAAAATTCAGGATTTATCTGGGCCACACTGTATATGTTATCCGACTCATCCCAGCATAGTAAGTATTCTTTCAAGCATACAAAAGCTTATTAAAGAATGTTACTTATTTGTGGAAGCAAAATTCATTCTTTATTATGAAAGACCTTCGTAACTCACCTGCTTTCGCGTTTGTTGGCTGCAACTTTCTTCTGTCCTCACCACGTGGATCTTGAATCCAAAGATAAATACTTTGTTATTTATTCCTCTTTTAAAAACATGATACGGGCGCGACAAAGGGAACCTTTAGTGAAGCACACGCCTGGGTTAAATACTGCACCCTCTTTACATCCGCATTGTGAATGTGGGTAATGCGAGAGGACGAGCGTGGGCTCAAACTACCCGTTTCTGGGCGGGGACCCTTGTTTTAAAACCGGTATCATTATTATCACCAATTAACATGTACTTGAAATTTCGACGTCAATTATACAATTAAAAAAAAAATTAATATATATATATATATATATATATATATATATATATATATATATATATATATATATATAAAACATTAGGCAGCATATGATTTACATACAAAGAATAATCACACATAGAATTAATCAGAAGTATCAATGCGATTATTGGCGACATCCATCGCTAGAAAACATAATATATGCATTAAAATCCTGTTCATCCATAGTGCGAGTTTTGATCCTTGAAGAAAAACTTGACTGTAGTTTTTCAGTTTATTTGATGTTAAAATGCTAGTACTTACGGACAGTCTTCCATCCATCATCAGGCATGTGTTTTTTTCCCTATAAAATCAAAAACTTGAGACGATATACCTGTATGTCGACCGAAAGATGTTTTTAGAATATCTGCTATTATTGACGGTTGTAAGATATCGGAACGTGCAAAGACGCAACGCTAAGTTTTTCAAAATTTTTAAGTGAGAATTTTATTTAAATATTTCTTGTGATGTGTTAAATCCACGTATTCTATTTTTACAAGTGTATTCAGTTTTTATGTCATGAACTAAGTATATAGTTCAATAATATAGTGTAATGTCATAGTAGTAATTTTTTATGGATGAACAGGATTTTAATGCATATATTATGTTTTCTAGCGATGGATGTCGCCAATAATCGCATTGATACTTCTGATTAATTTATATGTGATTATTCTTATATATATATATATATATATATATATATATATATATATATATATATAGTTCGCGCCTTCGATAGTCTTAGATACGATTCACAATGTAGTGAGTTTGAATCTTATGAGATTGTGTAATGATTAACGAGCACTCGCGGTAATGATTAACGAGCATTTCCAACAGGCCATTATTACTGCACGGAGATTTTAATTCTCACTGTGTGTCCAACATTTGTCCAAAATTTGTGACATACGAATTTAAGCCAATATATGTAAATCTCTTATCGAGCATCGAGTCATGGAGTATTGGTTAACGAGCAAGTAAAACGGAATATTATTGCTGTGTAGAGTCATCTGTCCACATTAGATGACCGTTATTGTGCACTATACTAGATTAATTTGGTATTCGCCGATCTCTACTTTAACATCTAACCATGAAGTAATGGCTAACGAGCTAGACTCACCGGACATCATTTCCATGTAGTAACTTCCGTCCTTATTAGATGTCCCACATTTGGGAACCTATATTAGATTAAGGTGATATTTACTTATCTCTAATCGAGCAAATAGTCCAGGTGTAATGGTTAACGAGCTAATCTTACGGGACATCATTGCCATGCAGGAGCTTCAGTCCTTATTATATGTCCCACATTTGGGAATCTATATTAGATTAAGCAGATATTCACTCATCTCTAATCGAGCAAATAGTCAGGGAGTAATGGTTAACGAGGTAGTCTCACGTGACATCATTGCTACGTAGGGACTTCAGGTCTCACTAGGTGTCCCACATTTTCGACCCTCTACTAGATTAAGTTGATATTCGCCCATCTCTACTAGTCATGGAGTAATGAGCTAGTCTCACGGACTAATGGGGACTTGAATCCATACTTGTTATTACGCGGGTCCTATGTTTGTGACCATATACACAACTTAGTTAATCTTCGTAAAATTATTCTCGATCTTTTCGCCATGGCGTAATGATTAACGAGCTATGCGTGAAACTCTTAACTGCTCTGTAGTGAGTTCAATCCTCACTGGGTGCACTAAACTGTGCAGCGTTGCACAAAACCATTTCTCTTAAATCTTTTCTAAAAAATATTTGTCATGTGCTACTGATCTACTAATTTTACACCTGATTATTACTGTTTACTGATTTTGAACCGCACTGTGCTCTCTATATTCGTGTCCGTGTGCCAGATTACGTTAGTTGGGATATCATTGCTTATCCCGGTTCAAGCATTCTTTTAATGGCATGTACCTGACGAAATTAAGACGTATTAGGTTTGTGCAAATGATTCCAGCGAAAAACCTATTCCCTCCTATGGATTCACTTGGAGAGAGAGAGAGAGAGAGAGAGAAGGGGATAGAGCGGGAAGGAAAGAAGGGCGAGTGAGGGAGGGTGGGAGAGAGAGAAGGGAGAGGTAGGGTAGAAAAAAGGAGGAAGAGAGAGTGTGAGAGAGAGAGAGTGTGAGAGAGAGGGAGGGAAAGAGAAGGAAGGAGAGAAAGGGTGAGAGAGAGGCAGAGAGAATAAGAGAGAGAGGGAGAGAGAAGGAGGGGATAGGCAGAGACAGTGAGGGAGAGAGAGGGACAGAGGGAGAGAGAGGGCGGGAGAGAGTGTGAGAGAGAAAGTGAGGGAGAGAGAATGAGAGAGAGAGAGAGAGAGAGAGAGGCAGAGAGAATGAGGGAGAGAGGGAGAGCTCAGAACTTTTGCACAAATCTAATAGAACTTCAAAAATTTATTCCTGTTTAAATTTCTGGAATTATGCAAAAACGAAAATAACACTGACATCTCATTTTAACAGATATATTTTCCAAAATTACACAAAAATGTCTAAAGAGTAAATTTATTCAATAAAATCGCCACTTGTTTCAATTACAACTTCCAGACAACTTCTGAATCTCCTGCAACTCTTCTGAATGGTGTCCTTGTTTAAGTTTGTGAATGTTGCAATAATCCTTACCTTCAGTTCATCACATAACACATAATAATCAAGTGGTTGAAGTCTGGGGAGTTAGGTGGCCATATATAAGTGTTGATGTGGTTGCAGAAACATTCTAACGGCCATGACTGCGTTTCCTTCTTGTGTGATATGGTGCAGAGTCCTGTTGTCAGACATAGGGTCTTCCAGCAGCCACACTCTTGACCCAGAGCAGCAGTTCCTCCTCAGGGTACTTGATGTAGGCCTCCGTGTTGACTCTGAGGTCTTGTGGGAAAATGGGGGCATAACGTCGCCATCACTAGTGATTACTCAAAACATCTTCATAATCACTATTAGATTCATTCAACTCTTTCGGAATCCTCTGCACTGTCCTTAAATTGACACCCAAACACTATAAAATATTCGTATTATAGCATCCAGCGAGAATGCCAAGCAAAACAGCATGCCATTGCTAAATTTTTGGTGGAGCGAATTGCGTCATGCTGCTCTTTTTCTCATAGACGCTTCCCAATTAAACTTACTATACTATGCAGTCGACAAAATCAAAAACAAACAATACGCATGCGCAAAATTAAAAATATAAAATGGCGACAATTTACTCATCCTACCTTTTATGTATATATATATATATATATATATATATATATATATAGAGAGAGAGAGGGAGGGAGGAGGAGACACACACGGTGTTTTCCTGAAGTTTTTGGCTTGGCTATGTAACGTTTATCAAGCTAAAATTATCGGATGTTTGTTTGAAATTTTCAGAGCCCGTTCGCATATATATATATATATATATATATATATATATATATATATATATATATATATATATGAGGACAGAAATGTAGGCAGGAAAATAATTATCTTGTTTAACGTTACCCAGAAATGTGCTTCCTCTTCCGCTAAAGAGTTCCAATTCCGTGTTATAACTATTATTCATATTTTTTTCTTTATATGTTCTTGAAGTGATCCTAATCCATGAAAATGATTTTAGTATCTCTCTCTCTCTCTTTCTACACAGACACACACACACACACACACGCGCACGCACACACACACATATTTACGGGTAGAGAGAGAGACACAGATGTAGCGGAAAATATGTATTTATATACTAGATTGATATCCTTTTTTTTTTCTATTTATTCATCCAACAGATTTTTATCCGTGGATTAAACAATATAATTTAGGACGTCACTCCATTTTATTTTTAGACGTTATATTTATTATCATCTACCGACCTGGATATTCGAAACGATATGGATTTCGGTTAAAGGGACTATATAGCCATGCTTGTTCGACAAGGCCCTTCATGGCTGAGTGGGTTAAAGCACATCTAAGTGGTGGTGGAGAGATAATGAAAAAGAAAAAGAATCCAGATGATTTCGGTTAGATTGAAAAAAAATTCTTTCAAAAAAAATATCATTTCAAAAAAAATTTTTAAACTAACAGCATCTCTCGTTTCGTGCGCATGGGTAGGCGTGACAACGTCTTCAAAGCCCAGTCCGATGAAATCCTAATGGATGAAACGCGTCACAAATAAACATTTGTCATATTTTTCCACACACACACACACACACACACACACACACACACACACACACACACACACATATATATATAAGGAAAAAACAAGAAAACTCCTTAAAAATCCATATCAATTATGATATATTTCATTAAATAAAAGAAAAAATTTCGGTCTGAAGAGATGAATATAACAATATTCATGAAATAAATTATAACCGAGATAGATTTTTAAGGTATTTTCTTGATTTACCGTTATATATTGCTCTGTAACTTACACTGAGTTTCATTGGATCAATGACCTTCTTAAAATTATCCCTACCAATTACAAATTGGTATTATTTAGTATATATATGTAAATTGATATTATTTATATAATAATAATAATAATAATAATAATAATAATAATGGCCTTTCCCCTGTCGGTTTCCACGTATGAGGATCTGCCAGCTTATTGATTCACTTCTGAAATTTTGTGCGATAATCTTAAGTGGCATTTAAGACCCGCTTGTGATTTACAAAGGACGCCACATAATGGAGCAAGGGTGAGGATTGTGAGATGAGATCACTGTTAGATTGGCTGACCTTTTAGATCTTGCTTTCGCTTCTTGAAGATGATTCAGACAAGCAGATTGAAAATTGCTGAGTTCACTAAAACACGTTGATCTCCATTCTACCCGCTCCAAAGCTAAGTACTCAAGGGTGTTATGTGGTATATTGACAGCTGACGAGTTGCTTTGTCTTTGTATCTTAGCCATGTGCGTCCGACATTCCTGTAGCCCTGATCTAACTGATTGTACATTAGGATCTTGGATATCCTGTCATCAGGATATATATATATGTGTGTATATATATATATATATATATATATATATATATATATATATAAGGGAGAGATTAAAGTTGATCCAACGAGGGAAAGGTGTATATTTTGAAGAGAAAAGAGAAGGCACAAAAGACAATGGTTAAATATAGAAAAGCATAAAGAAAAAAGTGAATTCCTTTAAATAATATGTGAAGATAACTTTTCTTAGCCTGATGATGGTCACAAGACTTGAAACACGTGTAAAAAACTATGGAAAATAAAGTATAATATATATTTTTAAAAATTTAATAAAAATCCATATTATAACCAAAAGAATTTTACGGCTCCTCTTTAATATATATATATATATATATATATATATATATATATATATATATATATATATATATATATTATAATTATTTTTTGAAAATGTGATTCCTTCGCAAATAATTATGATTTAGGCTTTACTGCTGCATTGAGTAATGTTCTTTTAAAAATAAAAACAAAAATACTAAAGAGCTTCGGAGTATTTACCTAACGTGTTCTTTCCTATTTTTCTATATATTTGTACACACACACACACACACACACACACACACACACACACACACACGTACGTACGTACGTACATGAGGATCTGACAATTTAGTTGATTCAATAATGAAATTTTGTGCGATAATTTTAGTGGTAATTAAAAGGACACATTGAAGAGTGGCATTTAAAAGGAGGCCACATATGGAGCAAGAGTGAGGATTGTGAGACGAGATCACTGTTAGATTGGCTGACCTTTTAGATCTTGCTCTGGCTTCTTGAAGATGATTCAGACAAGCAGATTGAAAACTGCTGAGTGAACTAAAACACGTTGATCTCCATTCTGTCCGCTTCAAGGCTAAGCGCTCAAGGGTGTTATGTGGAATAGTGACACCTGACATTTCTCGTTGGAACTACATAACCTCTTCCCTTATATATATATATATATATATATATATATATATATATATATATATAACGGGAAGTGGTTATAGTAGTTCCAACGAGAGAAATGTGTGTATAATAAAAAAAGAAGATAGAAACCGCAAACGTTTTTGGTTGTAATATAGATTTAAAATATATATATATTATGCTTTATTTTCCATTATTTTGCTACACGTGTTTCCGGTCTAGCGGCGCTCATCAGGCAAAGAGTGATATTTCGAACATATTATTAAAAGGAATTAATTTTTCTTATCTTTTTCGATGTTAAATATTCTCGTTCTTTTTTGTATGTTAGTGACGCAAATGTCTTTCTTGAACTGACAGTGAAAGAATTCTGCGTGAAGGGTAATAAAACAATTAAGACTGGTCCTAGAAAGGGTGAGAAAGTTATCTACATTCTTATCCTTTAATGACCCCTGTGTGTTCTTAGATCTATTTCCATTTTTTGTGTTTTTGTCAGCATGCGTACGCATACGTATCTTTCCTCTCCATACATACATACTGTCTTATTATAAGGAATTAGTATACATATACATACATGTAGCTAAATTGATATGAACGGACTGGGATAGATAGATAGATAGATACAAATAAAATGAAATAGATATATAGATATGAACGGACTGAGATAAATATATATGAACGGAATGAGATAGAGAGAAAAATACAGATAGATGTTGATATTGATAGAAATGTATAGATATATCGAGTGAAGTTAATTTTACAGTACCCACATAATTCTTATATATATATATATATATATATATATATATATATATATATTCATTTATATTAGGTTGGTGCAAAATAATAGTTTTTGACGTGTTTTTAACGTCAAAACTATATTATTTTTGCACCAAAAATATATATATATATATATATATATATATATATATATATATATATATATATATATATATATATATATTCTTAAATTACTGTAAAGGATGGCGAAAAAAAGCCCTACTTTTGAAATCTAAATATATCGTTAAAATCTGTTGAGGTGGAAAAAAAAATAAGCCAACACACAGGAAAGATGAAACACTCACCTCTGACACCCCTTGTCCCCACCCCCAGCAAATTATTCACCGTTCTTTCATTTCTGTGTTTCATACTAACAACCGAAATACGATAAATGGGTGGATACATTGTGTTTCATCTTGGAAATGTCACTGTGTCCATAATAGAACCCAAGCAAGTCTCCATCCCCAACATCATCTATTCATATCTTTTTTTTCTGTCGTCATCCAAGCGGATGCAAGGTGGACACATAGGGTTTGCTATTACAAACCACTCATCCGTTTTCCGGTTCTATGCCATTGAAAAGAAGGCATTTTTTTTTTAAAGTTGAGGTCTGGGCGTGAAAGGGGGTGGATGGCTTGGATATGTTTGTCGGCTGTTGGGAAAGGGACTAATTGCTAATGAAGATTAAGTCCTCGCAATTAATTGATTGTGAAGTGGGTAATTTGTAAAGGCATCGTTTCTATTGAAAAGCGTCCCGGTATGTCTCAGTTAACGGCGGAGATGCAACCAGTAATGTAGAGCAACTGGTGGAATGGAGGCGCGGTATCGGCGTTGGTAGGGAGTCACCTGTATACAGCCTTCTATGGCGCGGTGGGAAGGGAACGGGATCGTTTAATGCCTGAAAAGACATAATTGTCTGCTTTTAATTTCAGAATCTTTCTATATCTGTGGGTAAGTCAAAAATTATCCGGACATTCGCCTTAAGTTATCCTTAGGTTTCTCACTCCGCCTTCTGCTCATGCCTACTTATAGTTGGTACTATCGTTGTCACATGATCGAAGTTTGAGCTGGACGCGCCAGATTTTGCCGCTGTTACAGTGTAAACATAGCCGCTCCACTGGCAGTGTGCACAAGAAGGAACAGAGAGCAGTGATCGGAATTTGCAGGGGGCATGCTATCTCATCGATGATAACTCGTCGATTCACCATTACCATCTATCGCGTTTACCAGAATCTTCCCGTCAGCGGTGGAGGCTGACCGGCGCCATGTTCCTTCTTCGTGTTTCACGCTTATCCGGCCACTTTTAAACTTATCGATTCACTCATACACACTTCTACGCGGTAGGGTACTGTGGCCGTATTCTGTTAAATGCTTCCAATGAATTTCAATACCTGACACACATTCCGACCAGAGGAATTGGATCACTGCTCTTTGCTCCTTGTTGGTGCACACTGCTACCGGAGAGGCCATGTCTACACTGTAACAGCAGCAAAAAAAAAAAAATAAATAAATAAAAATAATTTGATCATTGCTAACTATAATGTCCAATTGATCAGCATATATAAATAGTCGAGCAAAAAAAAACAACACCCATGAAACAGTCTGTCAACGCTCGATGTTGATCTCAGTGTCCACTTTTTCTTTAGATATGCTCTATCCATGATAATGAGTAATTTACTCATATATATGTGTGCGCATATATATATATATATATATATATATATATATATATATATATGTCATTCACAGGCAGTAATGTTTTCGCTGTATCACAGCTCCTCAGTGCGACTAGACATCCGAATACTTCAAGCCCGGATCGAAACCCAACCGATCAGTCAGAGTTTCTACCACTAAGCTATCTTTATTCGACAGAAATGAACTAAACAACTAAATCTAGCGTATTGTTTTTTACGAATGAAAACAAATGCCAATCAGCCGGAGTGCTCCAATTCATTTTACTGAAGAGCTTTGCATTAACGCAGGTGGCTGTTGTTTATAGAATTAGCTTATCACTCAACAGTGCTCAATTGAAATTTATTTTCAAGAGCTAAATTTTATATATATATATATATATATATATATATATATATATATATATATATATATATTTGCTCTACGATTGTATTGAGCTCTTTTGTTAGTTAGTTGTTACTCGTATCGGGGTTTTTCTTTGGGCTTCAGACCTGCATCTGTGCGATTTTTGTCGGCAGAAGTTTTATGTTTGTAGCTCTTTTTCTTTTTTAAAACTTTTTTTTTCCTCGAAATTGATTTGATTAACAAATCAAAAATTCGAGTGTTTTTCGAAAACGAGTCTAGTTATTTATATTTATATTTATATATATATATATATATATATATATATATATATATCAGAAAAGGATAAAATGCCAACCAACCTCGCAAAACGTGGCAAGTGGGAGGATGAAGAGACCCTCATGGTCGAAACCCGAGTTGTAATGTAAGTTGGTATTTTAGTCTTTTCTTAAATATCTTCGCTCTACGATTTTGAATTTAGTATTCTGTACTTTTTTGTTGTCTATGCCTTTTAGGCGCGGCTGTTTTCAGTTTTCCTTTTACATTTTTATCCGTATATATATTAACATTAGAGGAGCCATTGAATTATTCTGCAATTCTGTACGTTCAAGTGTTTTTTTAGCTATCATATCCAATATTCAGCAAAGCACGATGGAGTCATCGATAGCGGGTCGGATTGAGGAATCGGAGTGCCGAGTTCGAATTCCAGTTCCATTACATTCATTTACGTTTCATTGGGATGAATCCTCTTCTACTCTCCTCCCCCCCCTTTTGCAGGAGACACTGGCTTCTAGGAGAAGGACGCTCCGAATTCAAAAGGGTTGGACTTCGTCAGACTATCTCGCCCACGGAACACGCCTGCATAGCTTGCGGGTGACCCTACAACCCTGATCAGATCTGCGATTTGATGTCCATCATATGGAACATTATTATACCTTTTAGGGCGTAAGCGATTACTGAGTGTTAGAGAATACGAGAAAAAATATATTAAGGAAAGAGAACAATAGAAGAACAAGAATTAAGAAGACAGAAGATAATGACTGACAGTACATTTTTGAAGATCAAAGTTGACTCGGAAGCAAGAAGCCGGAAGAGAGTTCCACAAGCGAGAAGTGTGAATGAAGAAACTGTTAGCATAGAACTTACGGTTGCAAGTGTTATCCAAGACATGCCTCCAATAATTGTTAAAAGTACGATCAAAAATAGACACATGCGTAATACATTCATTTTTATTTTACTCATTTTACTCCAAGTAAGGCAATAAAGCTACTAAGACGTAAACGGTTACTGAGTGTTAGAGAATATAAGGAAAATATATTAAGGAAAGAGAACAATAAAAAAGCAAGAATAAAGAAGACAGAAGATAATGATTTACATTTTTGAAGATCAATGTTGACTGGGAAGCAACGAGCCGGAAGAGAGCTAGAAAAGAAACTGCCAACATAGAACTGACGGTTGCGTGTTGCCATTCCAACTGTAAAATGATTTGTCCTTATTGCCAATTTACTATTGCTCCTATATTTATAAGTCAGGGTACCATAGAGAAAGTTCATCAGAACAATTACCATGAAAGTATTTATAGAAGTATAATGGAGAAGTGTCTGAAGCCGGGATACCAGGTCAGGACTAGTAACATTGCAGATTCTTCTTCGGATTTTATCAAGGATCTCTAAATGTATATGAGTAACCAATATTTAAAGCAAAAACAAATGGCAGGCTTATAAAGGTGTAAGACAGATTCTGGGGAGAAAAATTGCCTAGCTCGAAAACTGTTTTGTCTTCCGAAAATTCCAATTTTAAACGTTTTTTGACTACTGGACAAGTAATATATAATACAATACCATTATTATTTTTTCTTTTCCGGATTTTTAAAAATCGGCCTACAACCCCCACCCCCCAACACTCCACTAATTCCATTTTAGGCATTATCGTGAATAAGCCTGACATCTTGAGAAAGTTAGGGTGTCGATATCGCGTTGTCTTCTCTACGGTATTGAATTTGCAATTAACTTTCGTCTAGACTGGCTGTCAACCAAGGCTTAAGTGTCCAGTCTTCCTTTTATTTAACCAATAGCTGGGGTAGGAAATTGCGGGATGGATATATGCCTTTATCAAATGCATCTGTGCGAAAGTGAAGACACAAGAATTCTACTTTCAAAGTTAAAGAGAAAAAAAAATCAATTTCTCTCATTTTGTAACCCAATTCACAATTTAGAGCCAATTTACTCGCTATTAATTTAAAAGTCAGATAATTTTCGTTTATGCTTATCAGCCTTATTCTTCTAAAAATAAAATCAAATTATATATCCGTTGTTCGTCTCTTCTGTCTTGTTTAAGGATGAAGCAACATTTGGAGGAGATGGAAGAACAAATTTACACACATGCAAATGTGGGCGGATCAGAATCTGTATGCTACAATTCGGGCTAGACACCAGCATCAGTTTACGATTAATGCGTGGGCTGGAGTTTTAAGTGACTGTCTGGTAGGTCCATATGTTCTTCCAGCACTTTTTTTCTGGTACTGTCTACAGGGACTTTATTTCGAACAGAACTGCAAGATGATCTACCCCTTATAATGCGAAGACGTGGTTCATACATGATGAGTCTCGAAAACATTTTAAGCCCATTGTTCGCGATTCGCTGGTTGACATCTGCTATGAAAGATGGCTAGTTTGGGAAGGACCAGTTCCATGGGTTTCATGTTCCCCAAACCTCAATCCTTTGGATTTTTTTTTCTGTGCGACCGCCTGAAACAATTGGTTTATACAGCAGACGTTTTCTCAGGTTGCCATGAGATAATGATAAAGCGGCTGTGCAAAAGAAATCATTTAAAAAAAAATATATATATATATTTCAGCAATAAAATTTTTATCAGCATACATATTTTTTTGCAAAAAATAATACTTTACCAGCAATAAAAGATTTTACCAGCAATACAATTTTTGTAAAAAATGCATTTCTAAAAAAAAAAAAAAAAAATTACCGTAAAAGAAATTAATAATGCTCTCAAGAAAATTGTTATATACCGTAGCTATGAACACTAATGGGTATGTCCCAATCCTCACAAATATGTTAAACACTATTGTAAGTGTCGGGGAGGGGGGTGATATGCTGTCTAAGTAGTCCACCATTAACAGTGGTTTACCTACTTCACGCCGCTGGCGAGTATTGTATTTTATTGATATTATAAAGATTACCATTTCATTTCCAACCTCCGTTTTGGTTATTCCTCATTTAGTAACCTTCTCTAGGTTACAACAATTAATTTCGTCATTAAAAGACTCATAAGGAGTAGATATGCCGCTAAACAAATAAATAAAATGTGTGTGTGTGTCTGCATCTATGCGTATTCATCTGTGTGCACATGTATACATGTATACCTAAGTAGAAAGGTGCCGAAAAAAATGGATAAACATCCAAAATGATTTGATAGATATTAGCAAACATTGATGGAGAGCAACAGAATTTCTAAAAATAAATCTTCATCCGTTACACATCCCAAGAGCCATTCATGGTAGAGGATTTGGTGCTATGCGCATATGTACGAAATGTCAGGGTTGATCCTAGGTTTGAGGGGGTTAAGATTGTAGTATTCGGGAAGGCATCCCCTCGGGAATTCGTTCCCTAAAGTAGCAGCTCTTGGGAAAAAAGCTGTCTAAATGAAACTTCTTTCTTACCAATAGAATCCGAAAGGAATGCAGATGGTTTGCCACTGTGTCCATGGCGTAGTCGGTCTAAGATGTAAATTAGTGTAACTCGAGAATGTAACCCGTTAGTAGCAAAGGGGTTTTAAGATATAAAATGAATCATGAAGGCGGCCTAAAAGCTTTGGAGCTCTACATAGTGTTATGGGACCTTACCCATAATAACACAATG